ATATATATATATATAATACATGTTATTTACTTACTGTTAATGTAATTAATTTATGTGCATATTTAAATATTGGATTCACACTAATAATAATCATTATAATAATTTTAAAATGGTGAAGGTGATAATGCTGATAAAATACAGTATGTATTTGTTCAAAATATTCATTAGAAATGCATTGTTATTATTATTATTATTATTATTAATGATAAATGAATAGTCTTATCATATTTTAAAAACTAGTATTACATTTAATTATTATTAATAATAATAATAATACATATTTACACCATATTTATTACACATTTCATATTATTATTATTAATGTGATGATACACATATTATAAAATGATTACATTATAAATATTTTAGACTATTCTATATTTTCAAGTAATAAATAACATTTTAAACAACAACAGTAATAATAGTTAATAATAATAATAATAATAATAATAATAATAATAATTTTTAATAAATATCACTTTTTATTATTATTGTAATTAATAACCACAAAATAATACAATTATAATTATTATTCTTACATTAAGGTTCTTATGATTGTTAAAAAATTAAATACTACTACTAATAACAATAATAATAATAATATTGCAATGCGCAAGTATTGCACTGGAGAGTAATGCGATGTTTATATCCCATTGGAGAGCATATGCAAACCTTGTCACCACTCTCCAGCCAAAAAAACAACAACAACAAAGGAATGCAGACCATCAAGCATTCAGTTTGGCAGGACGCATGGACTCTCAAACTGTTCAATGAAGGATCTCATTTCAGACCATGTCATAGTCATATTGACTACTGGCAAGCAAAAAGACGTGTGCGAGAATTCAAAGTCTCAATTTATGAGGCCAGTAGCACTGAGGTGTGAAGGGAAAATGGTTTGTTGATGTATACTGGCCAATCTGATTCATATAACCCTCCATCAGCCCTTCTTCCAAACGTACAGCGAGAGAATTACTCAATTGAAAGTGAAGGGTAAAGTCCCTTAACATTAAAGTGCCTTTGTTTCAGTGTTCGCTATGAACGTCATCTTTGATTTCAAATGATCCTGGTGCTTCACCGACATCTGTCTGTGCACCAGATTAATGGCCGACTCTCTCAGGAAGAGCTGACACATTTGGCCAACTCGACTGTCTTCATGCCACCATAAGCATGAATCAATGGAACAAATTATCATCGACTCCATGTCGCTTTACCACTATATTAGATGCAGTTCCAGACAACAGGTTAAGGTTTTAACCACATCATTTGGAACCCAAAAAGCATGTTTTCCCATTGACAGCCATTCAAAATAGCCATATTTATTCTTTTCTCTGCCCAAATCTTGTGATCTATAGGTTTTCATGAAGCACACCAAAGTTGGTGCGTAACTACGCCTGCGTTTGTGAAGGGAGATGTTTTTCACTCGTCCTGTCCGTCTCATGAGGGACTGTCATAATGAACAGACCAGATACTATCACAAGACATCAAACTCAGTCAGCAAACCTTCAACAGGACACGTCTCTCAGGAACAGCATGTACGGAGATGGAGAAAATCTGTGGACAACATAGAATATATTGTAAGACTACAAATCTCTCCAACGCTAGCCTTCATGTTGCTACTGCAGACATATCTATCCAGAAATAAACATCCATCTAGTTCAGGGCCTTGAGTTACAGAATAGGTACCAAGAGTATTTATGTCCCTCATATAGATTTAGGCAGAATGTTAATTTTAGTTGATTTCTCTTATTTATATTTTAAAATATTTTTGGCCTGTTCTCACCCCTGTGTTTAGTTAATATTCACATTTTTTGTTCATGAAAACTAAATACATTTTGTCCTTATTCACTCTCTATATTTGACAATATATTATTAAACTTGACACTTAATAGACTTACAGACTTGAAGTTGTGTCTTACTAAAGTATCTGCATATCTGCATCTTGTTTTTTGTTTGTTTTTGTTGGTAAGACTATATATATATAAATCAACCCTGTTTCCAGCATATTTTTTTATCTCAAAATATTCAATTAAAAAAAAAATTTTAACAACAACAATAATAATAATAATAATAATATTAATAAGTGAACTCTTTAGAAGTGAACTCTTTAAAAAAAAAAGTTAGGTATGTTTACCTTGCTTTTTTTTAGGTTTGTCTATCTTCATATTTTTATATGTTCTATCAACTAAAAAAAAAACAACATTACCATAATGACGCCATTGTCACAACTGGACAGAGAGGCACACAATGGAAGATTGATTCTGAGCTTCTTTATTGCCATAAACTGAAGGTAGGTTCCACAACGGAATGTTCAAACATAAAAAGGCAAAAGTCTCATAAACTGAGAAATCACTGTCCTTATCTTAATTCCTTCTTGGAATGCCAAAAGCAGAGAGAGACGCGGATCCACTGAGATCCAGGCAGGTAAGTGGAGAGATCGGAGAAGGTGTGCAACTTTGAGACCAGTCAACGAGGGAATGAGGTGAGAAGCTTGATAAAGGGTATGGTAAGTGGAACCAGGTGTCCGTAATCAGTAATCTGGTGATTGTGATCTGGTGTAGGTGGCTGGTGAATCTGTGACAGTACCCCCTCCCCCACGGGTGACTCCTGGCGCCCGTAACTGACGGCGAGGATGACCGTAACCCCTAGGAGCAGGACGATCTGGGTGAGATTGATGGAAATCGGAGCAGAGTGATAGATCCAGAACATCATCTCTGTCCACCCAAGATCTTTCCTCGGGACCGTACCCCTCCCAATCCACGAGGTATTGGAGCCGGCCGCCCTGCCATCGGGAGTCTAGGATTTCTTTGACTCGGTAGATGGTCTCGTTGGAGTTGACCTCGGGAGGAGGAGGTATCTCGGGTTCAGTGGAAGGAGGGAGAAGTGGATCAATAAAAGGTTTTAACAGGGAGACATGGAAGGTAGGTGAAATGCGATAAGTGGCTGGGAGTTGGAGTTCATATGTGACATCAATGATTTGCCTTGTGATAGGGAAAGGTCCGACATAACGGGGACTCAGCTTCCTGCAGGGCAGCCGGAGACGAATATCCCGAGTGGAGAGCCAGACTCGGTCGCCCGGTTGATAGGTAGGTGTAGCAGAGTGACGGGAATCAGCGTAGTGCTTATGTCTCCGCACTGCCCGCTGGAGATGGACGTGTGCCGAGTCCCATACCCCCTCGCTCTCACGGAACCAGTAGTCAACCGCAGGGACTTCTGAAGGCTCACCAGTCCAGGGGAAGAGTGGCGGTTGATACCCGAGCACACAGTGGAATGAATAATGAATAATGAATTTTGAACATACTCAGCCCAGGGGAGATACTGGCTCCAATTGTCCTGATGTGCGTTGCAGTAGGCTCGGAGATATCGTCCGATCTCCTGGATCTTGCGTTCGGTCTGGCCGTTGGTTTGAGGGTGATAACCTGAAGATAGATTGACAGAGACACCCGGCAGATGGAAGAAGACACGCCAGACCCTAAATATAAACTGTGGCCCTCTGTCGGAAACAATATCTTCTGGGATACAGAAAGACGTGATGGAAGAGAGTTTCAGCCGCTCCCAAGGAAGTAGGTAACCCTCATAAGGGGATTAGCTTGCAGGCTTTGGAGAATTTGTCCACAACCAAGAAGATGGTCGTGTATCCATTGGAAGGTGAAAGATCTGTAGCGAAATCCACCCCGATATGGGACCAGGGTCGGCATGGGATGGATAGTGGAACCAACTTGCCTTCTGGTAGGCGGCGTGGAGTGGATGTGATGGCACAGACCGAAAAACTCTTGACGTAGCGGACGACATCCCAAGCCATGCTGGGCCACCAGTAACGGTTCCGGAGGAGCAAGAGGGTTCGTTGGCTGCCTAGGTGACCCAATCCCGGAGATGTGTGGATGGAGTTCAGAAGGGCGAGGCGCAGAGTGGTAGGTACATAACTCTTACCTTCCGGAACTCCCGGCGGAGCGTGTTCCGTCAGAGTGGTGGCACGAATTTGATCTTCGAGTGCCCATTCTATAGGGCACACGAACAAGGTGGGCGAAAGAATGGGTTCCGGGCTTTCCGGAGACGGATCAGATTGGTGAAGGCGAGAAAGAGCATCTGCTTCGAGGTTCTTATGACCTGGACTGTAGGATACAGTGAATTTGAAGCGAGTGAAGAACAAGGCCCATCTTGCTTGTCGTGGATTGAGGCGCTTAGCCTCTCGAAGGTATTGGAGGTTCTTATGGTCAGTTATCACCTCGAAAGGGTACTGACCTCCTTCCAACCAGTGCCGCCACTCCTCCAGTGCGAGCTTGATGGCAAGTAACTCGCGGTTCCCGATGTCATAATTCTGCTCCGCCGGGGACATCTTCTTGGAGAAGTATGCGCATGGATGGAGTACTGGGGTTTCACCCTTCCATTGGGACAGTACTGCACCAACTCCTAGCGTTGAGGCGTCCACCTCCGCCACGAAACTGAGATTCGGGTCTGGGTGAGTGAGGGTAGGAGCGGTGCAGAAGGTCAATTTCAGCTGGTGGAAAGCCTCCATGGCCTCAGGTGTCCAGGAGAGGGATTTAGGTTTTCGCCAGAGGAGGTGTAAGTGGAGCTGACAGCTGACTGAAATGGGCTATAAACCGGCGATAAAAGTTAGTGAACCCCAGAAATCTCTGCAGCTCCTTGACCGTGGTAGGTTGTGGCCAGATCCACACTGCCTCCACCTTCCTCTGGTCCATTTGTACTCCTTCTGGGGTTATGATATAGCCCAGGAACTGAACGGTGGTTTGATGGAACTCACAATTCTCTAGTTTAAGATATAAGTGATGCTGGCTGAGACGTTGGAGTACCTGGGTGACGTGCCGTTGTTCCTCGAGATTGGGTGAGTAGATTAGAATGTCATCGATGTAGATGATGACAAACCGGTTGAGAATGTCTCTGAAGATTTCATTCATAAAATTCTGGAATATTGAAGGTGAGTTTGAAAGGCCATACGGCATCACCAGGTACTCGTAGTGCCCAGAGGGAGTCACAAAGGCCGTCTTCCACTCATCCCCTCTTCGGATACGGACTAGATTGTAGGCACTGTGTAAATCTAACTTGGTGAAGAGATGAGCTCCACGGAGTTCCTCCAAGGCGGCTGGTACCAGAGGAAGAGGATAGGTGAATTTGACAGTCTGTGCGTTGAGTGCGCGATAATCAATACAGGGGCGTAAGCCCCCGTCCTTCTTCGCCACAAAAAAGAAACTGGAGGCTGCAGGAGAGGTGGAAGGACGGATGAACCCCTGTTGTAAGGCCTCCTTAATGTACTCCTCCATGGCAGCTCTCTCCGAGATTGAGAGTGGGTAGACATGTCCCTTAGGCAGTTTGGCCCCAGGCAGCAGGTCGATGGCGCAGTCCCATGGCCGATGTGGAGGAAGATGTGTTGCCACGACCTTACTGAATACATCCTGGAACGCCCGGTATTCAGTAGGAATTTGTACAGTGTCATGGAAGGCAGGACTTTTAATGGTGGTTGAGCATAGGGTACTGGTTTGAATGGGTGTAGGAAGATCTGTTAAGCATCCCTGGAAGCAGTATTCACTCCACCTGAACACCTCCCCGGAAGTCCAGTGGATGTCGGGATGATGCTGAGCAAGCCAGGGACGTCCCAGGACTATATCCACTGTAGCCTCCTCCAGCACCAGGAACGAGATTCACTCAGAGTGTAAACATCCGATGCGGAGCGTGACCTCCGGGGTGCGGTGGTGCACCAAGCTCTTGCCCAGCGGCTTTCCTTGGATGTTGGATATCTGATATGAGGTCACATTGCGATGTCGAGGGATTTTGATTTGGGCGAGGCAGTGAGATGAAATGAAGTTTCCGGAGGCTCCGGAAAAGACAAGGACTTTAACTGAAAAAGATTGGTTCATGTAAATTAGGAGAGCATCAATGTGTGGAATTCGAGAGACATCAGGATGGATTTGGACCGTACTCACCGCTGAGCGTGTTGGGCGAATAGGCAGGAGGGCAGAAGATGTTCGCTGGATCCAGAATCAGGTGTCCGTAATCAGTAATCTGGTGATTGTGATCTGGTGTAGGTAGCTGGTGTGGCAGGTGTGGCTGGTGAATCTGTGACAGCCATCATACCATCTTGTAGTTTTTAATGTTTTAGTTTGTTGGTAAGACAATACTAAAACATCAACCTTGTTACAATCATATTTTTATCTTAAATTGTTATATATATATATATATATATACAATGAAAAAAAGTGACACCATCATACTTTAAAAACTGAACATTGTATTTTTAGTATGTCGGTAAGACAATGCTAAAACGTCAGCCATGTTGCCATCATATTTTTATATTAAATTATTTCGTAAATATAAAAAAATAAAAAAATAAAATAAAATAAATAACACCATCATTCTTGCAAAAGAACAACTCTTCAAGAAAGTTTTTTTTTTTTTTTGATTTTGTCAGTAAGATAATATTAAAATGTCAACCCTGTTACCATATTATGAATTAAACAATTGATATTTGGAAGGTGGATATTTAAAATGCATTAAATACTTTATATTATTTGGCTTGAGATGGCACAATGCAATTTATTAGTGCATTTTTCATCTCAGAGAATGTTTAAAATCATTCAAAATGTACTTTAAAAGATCACCTTCTCAAACTGGAAAAGGCACCCGTTAATTTTAACATGTCACTGGGACCTACTGTATAAGGAAAATAAACTGCATGGAAACTGCATCTTGCCATTGGCAAGAATACTAAAGCCTGACAAAGATAACATCATTTTTAAACCCAGAATTTACTTAATTATGAGCTATTTTAGTCAGTTAGCAGACACTTTCTTATCCAAACACTGGAATAAGAATATATCAGTCCCAGACTGAAAACACCAGTTCTGTTACAGTAATATTGCAGTTCTGCATCTGATATTAGCCTGGTTTCCAGTAACTGCTATTGTGTTCCACTGATTTACAATTCCATAAAACACTTAAAACAGTACAAACTACTACAAAACTCAAGTCATACGGTCACACAAGAGGACAGAATTGGTGAAAGAGAACACATTTGATGCTAATTTAATAGATTAGAGATGTAGGCCAATGATGAGCGTTAAGTTTAACTTTTTTCAGTTCATAGTTTTTGTCTTTGATAAAAAATTAAATAAAAAAAAAGTCTATTAAATTTTTCATATTTATTGATTTATTGATTACACTCTTGATTCTTGATTGACTGGGGTCAGTACTTTTTGAATAAAAAATATACTTTTATTCAGCAAAGACTAAATTTAAATTGATCAAAAGTGTCAGTAAAGATATTTCATAATGTTATAAAATATTTCTATCAAATAAATGCTATTCTTGTGAATTTTCTATTAATCAAAGAAAGTATATGAATTACATTTGATATATTCATATATGAAATTATATGAATATATGATAAAGATAAGAAAAGTTTGTTTTAAGTATATTCAAATATATATTTATAACAATATTTTAATATTACTGTATTTTTGCTCAAATAAATGCAGCTTAGGTGAGACTACTTTCTTTCAAAAACATTTTAAAAATCTAACCGACCCAAAACGGTACTGTAATTCTGACTAAAAAGAAAACTGTGGTCAATAAAAAAGTAACTTTTAGTTGACAATAATGTGCAAAACTACAAAACTGGGTCCAACTGTAAAACCACATTTCAACAAAAATTCTTAAAAATGTCTAAACATATATTATTTTAAACATGCATGAAAATGTTATAAATAAAATGCAATATGAAATTAGCCCTTGTTGCAAAAAATATAAAAATTTATTTTAAATGTAAATAACTTTAAAATAACTTAATAATATAACTTAATTTTAAACATTAATAACATACACATAATCAAATAAAGATACAGTGTTGGGGAGTAACTAGTTACATGTACCAGCATTACGTAATTTAATTACAAAATAAATGTAACTGTAATCCAGAAAAAAATGTGTAATTAAACTACAGTTACTTATAAAAATGTTAACGATTACAAATGGGGTTACATCTGAATATTTTCTGCAAAAAGATAGGATATGTTGAATAATTTTTGATGTGCATATTGCCTCCTGCCATTTAAAGGCCGTTAATTAAAGCAATGCTATTCTGATGATCTTGCATCAGTCGGAGTGTAAACAGTGAGAGATCCTGAAACTGGTGAAAAGCGTTTGGTTAATGGTGAACATTTACATATTGTGCGTACCATAGTGTCGCTGCATTTTGGGTAAAAACGACGGAATTGTTTATTGTGTAAGGTGCCAAGAATACAGAGACCCAGGTTGCACTGTCCGTTCGTTCACACGCATCTATCGGATTGGCTGCTGCCTTTAGCGGTGCCTTTACTGATTACCTCCATTGTTCAACGCATTCGGCACAATCATCTGTGAGTGATGTCACTTCCCAATACAAACACGCCCCTTAGTTTAGTCCCGCCCCTGACACTGATTGACAGCTTTCTGTGTAATGCTTCAGAAATTCAAATACTAAAGGAATTGTGATCCCATTTGAGTTTTAGCAGGTTACATGTGCAACCCAGAGAGAGTGAAAAAGCAGACGTGGTAATTAATATTGCTATTTAAACAGTTACAAATGGACTTTGCTTTTCCATTTGAAATTCGGCAGTCACTGTGCATTCGAAAAAGCGAAAATGCAAATGGTAATGCAAGATTTGCAATTGCGTTTGGATTGTGTCACAATTTATGCGTCCACGTATGGAAAACACAATTTGAAAATACAATTTGCAATTCCTTTTGAAAAAAATCCGGAATATCCTTCAATAATGGCGAGTGATTAAAAAAAAAAAAGTGTTCATGTACTATAAATTTAAAAATAAATTAATCCAGAAACCAGAAAAGCCGCAAGTATAACGGTTCAGTGCAAAATATGTTTTCCAACTATTAAAGTGCTTTGATATAAAACGTTTCAATGTCGAACCTGAGGAAGCATCTGCAGGCATATAACTTAGCCTACAGCTAACTGTGAGCAGCCATTTAAAAAAGTAGGAAAGACATTGCCTAGTCCCGCCTAATATGTATTCAAGACATATTTTAGGTCTGTGTATTGCTTGGTGCATATCCAGTAGTTTATTTAACAATGTTAATCTCCATTCATAACAAATTAGCTAGTCTGTTAGCTAGCTAAAGAAGTCTTTACCAGCCACACTTCTATTTATGAACCCATTGACAGAAAATATATACCTAAAGTTTTTCCTCCTTGAATAAGATTGGTAACCATGACAGATCCAAAACTACAGTTATTTCAGCATTGTAGTGTAACCTACATTAATGACTCACGGGACCATTGAGTGAAATCCAGGGCACCAACAGACTCCCCTGGCCAAATCAACTTTGAGTACTACTGTAAGGTTAACCCTGCCTGATTTAAATGTTTGAAAATGATTAACAGTTGAAAACATTTGTTAGGAATTTAGAAAAGTAATCAAATGTAATCAGGTAGATTACTTTAATAAAGTAACTGAACTAGTTACGCTACTTATTACATTTAAATAGGGTAACTTGTAATCTGTAACCTATTACATTTCTAAAGTAACCTTTCCCATACTGTGAACATAAATAGTTTCTTTAACAAAATTCACTGATAATGGAGCCCAAAACAAGTGTTTATTAAAGACTCACCTAAACCGCAGCAACCTCTGTGAACCTCGCTGAGCTGACAGGGCCGTGAAGAATTGAAAACAGTCACGATACAAGATGAAAGCAATTATAATCAGGATGGAATGAACCTCACAGTCATGGCAGGCAACAGTTGGAGAGAGAAGGCCAAAGCCCCGCCACAATTTCACCATCGTGGACGGCACAAGAATTATTAAAAACTTTGACAAGCCTGTCCAGAAATCAGACATTAGACACATTAGAAGTGTGTTGCTTAGGAAAGAATTACGTTATTTCCATCCAAAGAGCTTTCTGGGTTCATTTTGATACTATAAATGACCCCTTAGCATTAGCACACTTGCTTTATCCTGCTTTTTTTCTGCTTCAACTTCATATGTTTATACCTGTCAGAGTAGGTCTGCCGCAGAAACCACACTGGCTTCGGTCCTGCCATTCGACTCTCTCCACATCGAGACTCCAGCTCATCAGAGCGCTTAGACAGCATTGAAACGGACAAGAAAACTGTAAGACAAGAACCACAGTGTCATTGCTAGAACATCCAAACAGTTTTCTGAAGACGAATAGGGTTTCCATTTGCATGTCAGGTACCAATCTTTGCAATTAATAGTTTTAAATGAATACGCTTTTAATCAGAGTCTTGATGTTGTGGGTTTGTTCTTGAGATCTCTCGAGACCACATTAATGTGACCGTGGTGTGGCTCTCATTACTCAGTGTCTTGGTCTGGATCTGGGTCTTGGCTTATGGTCTCGGACAAGACCACAGTCTAATTCCAGCGTATTAAAGGTGAAAATGACCTCGACCATAAGTCAGCAGGGTATCTTCATCATTCAGCAGGAGTCACTGAAGGTGTCTGGCATGTGGCCGTCCATTGTGAAACCTAAAATCCACTTCCAAATCAGTTTAAGTCAGTTTAAATCTGATTTAAATCAGTGGTTCTCCATATATACTGTATATATATATTACTTTGTGACCCAGTATTAGGCTCCCAAATTCTTGCACCCATTCTACTTTAAGCTGCATACTTAAGAATCTCACAGGCAGCAAATTGCGCCCTCAAGAATGAGATTTTTATTATATAAAATTTAGTAAAAACGTTTTATTATAATTTACCAATTTAATGTCTAAAATAAAAAAGTATATGGAGATATGTTGTATATACACTCTTAAAAATAAAGGTGCTTCAAAAGGTTCTTCGCAGCGATGCCATAGAAGAACCATTTTTGGTTCCGCAAAGAACCATTTAGTCAAAGGTTCTTTAAAGAACCATCTCTTTCTTACCTTTTTATAATCTGAAGAACCTTTTTTCGCCACAAAGAACCTTTTGTGAAACGGAAAGGTTCTTCAGATGTTAAAGGTTCTTTATGGAACCATTTAGACAAAAAGGTTCTTCTATGGCATCGTGAAGCACCTTTATTTTTAAAAGTGTATATATATATAATATTGAACAGATTGAATATTTTGGAAGTGAATTCTGGAAGATGAATATGAATTACTGAATTTTTAATTATGTATTCAACGTTATTGTTTTGTTTCAGAGACATATGGCATTATTTTTCTTCCATATTTAGGCTGTTCAGAGTCGATTCTTTCTTTTGGGAGACAATAACTTTATTTATTGTGCATTTTCGGGTTTACAACTTTGCTGATCATTTACATTCACATACCGCTACACTCTAAAAAATGCTGGGTTGTTTCAACCCAACATTGGGTCAAATATGGACTAACCCAACCGTTGGGTTAAATTTTTACATTAAATTTTTAACCAAAAGTTGGGTTAGTCCATATTTGACCCAAAGTTGGGTTGAAACAACCCAGCAT